ATCAAGCAGAAAGTAGAGTTCCCATGTACTTCCTCCCTCCCACCCACATACTATTTCCCCTCTTATTAACATGTTGCATTGTTGTGGTACACTTGTTACAATTAATGAAACAATATCGATTCATTACTATTAGCTAAACTCCATAGTTTACATTGGGTTTCGCTTTTTATGTTGTACGATTCTATAGGATTTGACAAATGGATAATGACGTGTATCCAGTGTTACAGTGTTAATATACAGAATAGTTTCATAGCCCTAAAATTCCCCTGTGTTCATCTCTCCCTCCTCATAAGCCCCTGGCAATTATTGATCTTTTCATCGTCTCTCTAGTTTTATTTTTTTTTCCAGCATGTCATATTGTTGGAACTATACAGTATGTAGCCTTTTTCAGATTGGCTTCTTTCATTTAGCAATATGCATTTAAGTTTCCTCCATTTCTTCAATGGTTTGATAACTCATTTCTGTTTGTCACTAAATAATATTCCATCATAAGAATATATAGACGGTCCTCAACTTACAATGGAGTTATGTTGCAATAAACATTTTATGTTAACCTTGAAGGACATTGATGGAAAACAAATAAAAACCCATCATAAATATCATAAGTCATAAATGCATTTAATACACCTAACTTACAGAACATCATAGCTTAGCCCAGCCTACTGGAAACATGCTCAGAACACTTACATTAGCCTGTGGTTGGGCAAAATCACCAACACAAAGCCTATTTTATAATAAAGTGTTGAATATCTCATATAATCTAACGAATATCGCACTGAAAGTGAAAAGCAGAATGGTTGTAGGGGTACTCAAAGTGCAGTTTCTACTGAATGCATACTGCTTTCACACTATCATAAAGTCAAAAAATTCTAAGTCTATCCATCATAAGTCAGGGACCGTCTGTTGCACAGTTTGTTTATCCATTCACCTATTGAAGGACATATTGGTTGCTTCCAAGTTCTTGCCACTTTATAAGCAAAGTTGCTATAAACATTCATGTGCAGGTTTTTGTGTGGACATAAGTTTTCAACTCATTTGGGTGAATATCAAAAAGTGCAATTGCTGGATAGTATGGTAAGAGCATATTTAGTTTGGAAAGAAACTGCCAAACTGTCTTCCAAAGTGGTTAGACCATTTTGCATTCCCACCAGCAATGAGCGAGAGTGTTTGTTGTTCCACATCCTCACCAGCGTTGAGTGTTGTCAGTGTTTTTGGGTTTGGGCCATTTTAATAGATATATAGTAGTATCTCGTTGTTGTTTTAATTTATAATTCCCTACTGACATATGATGTTGAATATCTTTTCATGTCCTCCTTGATGAGGTGTCTGTTCAGATCTTTTTACCATTTTTTTTTAATCAGGTTATTGGTTTTCTTGTTGAGTTTTAAGAATCCTTTGTATATTTTGGGATTTTTTTTCCTTTGTATATTTTGGATACAAGTCCTTTATCAGATACAGTACATATTTTCTCCCAGTCTGTGGCTTGTCTTAATGTCCCAGCATTTCTCATGTCTACATTTTCCCGTTCAATCGTCCCATGCCTGTAGTCTGAGAGCTGTGTGGTGTTGGCTCCATTTCACCAAGGAAGCCAGGGCTGAGAGGGGTCAACTGACCTGCTATGATGTGACGTGAACCCACGTGGGATCCACAGCTCCATGTATACAGGAAAAGTGCATCCTGCTTGCTACAGGCTAGCCATGTGGGAATGAATGCTGGTTATATCATAATAAAATACCCTTCTGCAGTCCCAGGAAAGAGACGCTGTTGTTGGGGTGCCCCGCAGAGCCAGCAGGGTTCATTGCATCTCTCTTGGTGCCTTCCCACGGTGTGGAGAGCCTGCTGTGGTCTTAACCCCAGCTGCCTCCTGCATCTCGCCCCCCATTGCTGTTCCTCCCACACACTCTGTTCCCAGGACAGGAGTCTCTCGTAGCCCCCCAGCCCCCGTGTGACTGTTTTGACTGCTTTTTCAGGATCTCTGCCTCCACTCTTGCTGTTCCCTCTGATGGAAAGATGTCTTCATTGTCCACTAGTCAAGCCCGACTCGTTTTTAATTCCTCATTCTCAAGTCACCACACAAAGCTCTCTATCCCCCACCTTCTAGATTTGTAAGTTCCACTCCTGCAAATATTCTGTCTCCCCCCCTAAATTGACACAGTCCTCAAGCATGAGTATAGCCTTTGATGGCGCTTTCTTAATCCCTTCCACTAGCCCGGCACACAGTAGGTCTGCAATAAGTGTGTTCTTAATAGATGAATGAAGAGGTGATGTCGGCAAACACCATCATCTGGTGCTCAGAGGCCCCTTTCTCCTCTTCAAGAATATTTAACGGAAAGAAATGAGTTTGTTTCTTTTTGTTTTGTTTTTGATCATTTCTGCTTTCAGATTTTTAAATTTCATTTTGTATTTAAAAAAATTCCCTCTCAACATTTTAAGCCAGAATCTATGTTCCCAGTGATATGGACCCCTAGGGCAGGCATAACTCAATAAATAAAGGAGATTTTTGAATCAATAAGTCATTAGTGAGACCATTAAGTAAGAACACAGTGTGCATTTTCACTTTCTTAAGGCTTACAGTTTCTGTAACTGCTGATAACAAGAAGTGAGGCACCAAGCCTTGTCTGAATCCCAGCCTCTTAGTTGGGATGTCCCCCAGGGACCCCCCTCTTCTGGGGCTGGAGTACTGCAGGAGAAGGGACCAGCCATCGGCACAGACTCTGGCAGAGGTACCTGAGACACTCAAGGTCCTGGGGCAGAGCCTTGTGTGGGCAGAGCAGAGGTTCAGGGTCAGATGGACCTGAAAGAGAAATTCTGCTCCTGCCATTTACAGGCTGTGTAACTTTGAAAAAACCTGCTTAACCTCTCTGAGCCCCAGTTTCTTCATCTGTGAAATGAAAAGAATCATAATACCACATCATTCTAGTATCGTTGTAATAACCTATAGTGCTATTTTGAGGCATCAATGATTGAGTGAGATAATGTATATAAAGTTACCTTCAAACTCCTCCCCTGCCTCACACTCCACTCTCGCACCCACCCAAAGGGATTACTTAGACGTCCCACCTACTCCCTCTAGTTGCTTCCACTGAAACCCTTCCCCATGATGAGTAAGGAAAGTCGCGTTTAGCGTAACTCAGTGTCTAGCATGGTACCTGCCACATGGCACATGCTTAATGAGTAATTCTTGCATTAAGTAAGTAATAGCTATGGGGTGGTATCCCACACCAGTCCTGGGCCTGTTTGTCCATAATTGGACCCGATTCCTCACCTTCTCCTACTCTACTCTCTATTGCAGGTAACTGACCCCTGTAGGTCACATTTCTCAGGCTCTCTTGTCAGCTGTCTTCTGGCTGGGTTTGGCCAATGACATGCACTGCTGGGACATTGAGGAAAAGAGGAGGGAGAAGCCAGGGTGGTCTCCCCTCCATCCCAATTGCAGTTGCCTCCCTTAGTGACAAGGAACCCTCCTCTTTGTCTTCAGCTCCCACCAGAGAGTCCCACTGGCCTCCGTTTCCAACAGGTGGCCCCAGCTCCTGAGCTCTGGCAACCCCAGCTCCTCCCACTGTCCCGCCAGCCCTGGGGCAGCCAGTGTCTCCCTGCCGCTGCTCCGCCCTGAGTCCCTTCACTCTCTTCTCTCTGACTTCTCAACTCTCCTATCACCCAGGCAACCACTTCTCTGTAGTTAATTCCCTCTGCCAGATATATTTGAAGTGGTTCCTAATATTCCACTTAGACTGTCTGAACTCAGACTTAAGAGAATTTCACAATTTCGTTCTCCACCATTCACTGGCCATGTGGCCAGTCAGTCTTTGTGAGCCTCAGTTTCCTCATTTGTAAGAGGGCTAACAGGACCCATCCTGCTTCTTTCATGGGGTCAGCGTGAGAACCCAATGGTGTCACCTGTTTATACAATTGCCAGCAACCTATTGAGTATGTGCAGGGGATCAGGGGATGGAACAGGGACATTGTCTGTTTTACTCCCTCTTCTACCCCTGGCACCTCAAGGGGATTTTGGCTAGTTGCAGTAAATGTGCTTCGTAAACTGCAGAGTGCTGTACACATCCCACAGGATAAGTCGACCTGATCACCTTGACCCCCAGGGAATGCTTCGAGGTGCCAAGAGCTCTCCAGCCCACTTGCTGGGAACCGCCCCCCTGCCCTAGAGCTAGAGTAAGGCGGATTGGCCAGTGGATGCCGTGACTACACAGTGATATGTGTGCAGAGACCTGGATAAGGAACTAAGGCCCCTCCTCCCAGCCAGACCCAACCAGGGTGTTCCACTTGCGAGTGTCTATTAACATGTCGGAGCTCACTTAATTAATTGTAAAGGATCACCCCAATTCTTCTGCCGCACTGGTTTTCTTTTAATGGTTTTTATTTGCTGTTATTTGAAGTAAGCACACTATCCACGAAAGCCTGCAAATCTTGTTTATGTCTACATTATGTCTGAGAGGGTATCCTCTGCCACACGATTTTTAGTTATTGATGACCTCTTTTATAATGATTTAGTCAGCCTCGCTTTAATGATAGTATCGATAACAATATGTGGCTGGCAAGCTATTTGCAACGATGCTCCAAGGGGCCAAAGAAAAGCAATTTGTGCGTGTGTGTAAAATAGGTGAACTTGCTGTTTTTAAGTGAGCATGAAAATGTAGTATATTCGTTCAGATTCAACCGTCTCACGTCCCTTGTATTTTTTTATATGGTCTCTCCCACATTGTTCTGTGAACCAGGTGTTTCCATCCCTGCTTTAATGATGAAATCACTAAGATTTAAAGAAGCAAGTGACTAACTCAGTCCTTTCTAAGGCTAGTAACCTCCCTGAGCCTCCGCCTCCTCATCTGTAAATGGAAATAATGACTGAGGGCAGTGTTGAGGGTTAAATGAGAGAGTAGCATGATACCCGATATGCAGTCGTTTATGAATTTGGGTGAAGACATTGCTGGCTCCTCACCCAAACGCCTCTTCTCAACCGTCCCTTGATTTCTGCTCTCTCTCTGCAGATGACCATTCCCGGGTGAGGCTGCTCGTGCTGGACGGAGACCCACACTCCGACTACATCAATGCCAACTACATTGACGTGAGTGTCTGACTCGAGCTGGGTGGCCAGGGCCTGAGGTCGGCTGTGCAGGCTCAAGATCTGTGGGTGTCACCTAAACTCTCCCCCAGGGGGCGGCCCTTCCAGAGTATGTCCAGAGCAGTCTGAATCCTCCCTGACTTGGGTGACTAGCATGAGCCACTGCCTACATCTTCTTTCAGGCTGGCTGGTGGAGCCTGCTCTAGGGGGCCAGCACAACTGCCAGTCTTATCTATTCACCCCATTTATCCATTTGTCTATGTGGCTGTTGATTCATTCATTCATTCACATGAAGGCACAGCTATTTATGCAACAAAAATTTAAAAGTGCCTACTATATGCTAGATGCTATGGGAACCATAAAGCTAAAAATACCATGGTCTCTACCCTCTGAAACCCTAGCAGGAAGATAAGTGGTGCACATCAATAATTCCAGGGCAAAGTAGAAAGTGGTAAGTGTCATGAGTTCAGGTAAAATGCTGCAGGAACTCAGAGGTGGGGGAAAACATTGCTTCTTCCATCAGGAATGCAAAATGTGATGTGAACCGAAGCTTCAAGCACAGGTTGGAATTTAAAATCAAAGAGAGGGAAGATGGGCCTTTGGATACAGGGAGCAGCACAAGCCCAGATGTAGCAGCCTGAAGGGAGAGACGGAGCAGCCCTGTTGACAGGAGCAGACTATATAATGGAGAAAGTGGAAAATGCAGCGAGGGCTAGATCATGGATGGTATAGACGGCCAGACTTAGGAAGTGGGACTTTACCTCCAAGGCAAGAGGGAGAGATTGAACATCTTTAATTAAGGAAGTGACCCCTTCAGAACTGAGATTTGGGGTGATTTATCTGCCCTAAGGTAGATCGGGGAAAGAAGATTCTGGAATTAAGACAACCAATTATGAAAGAGGCTGCTTCAATATTCCAGAGACTACTGAGGAAGGGACTAAACTCAAACAGATGCCAAGAAATTTTTCACAGGAGTGAAAAAATTTGCAAAGTGGGAGCATGGCCACTGGGGCCAGAGGGATGTCCCGCCATGACCGATGCAAGCCACGCTTCTCAGGGCCTCAGCCAGGAGCCCAAGGGCCTTGAAGGAGACAACAAGAGATTCTTTTTGGTCCCTTGGGCTCCCAAATGTATTTATAGACAAGCAACAAAGTGTGGTGGCATGCTTTGTGAATTCCCTCATAATCTAGGCTGAGCCAGATGAGTTATTAATGCAACAAATATTTATTGCTCTCAGATCTATCCCTTGTCCTTCTAGTTCTGCTTTGCATTGCAGGTGTGTGTGTATGTGAGTGAGTGAGTGGTGTGATGTGTGTGTGAGTGTGTGTGTGTGTGAGTGTGTGTGGTGTGTGTTCTGTGGTTGAGGTGTTTGTGTGTGGAGTGTCGTGTGTGACGTGTGTCGTGAGTGTGTGGTGTGTGGGTGAGGTGCGTCGTGTGAGTGTGTGCTTGTGAGTGTGTGTGTGGACGTGTTGTGTGTGAGTGTGTTGATGTGTGGGTGTGTTGTGGTGTGCAATGTGGAGTGTGTGTGAGTGTGTCGTGAGTGTGCTTGCCCGTGTGGGAGTGGGTGTGTGTGTGATGTGTGGTGAGTGTGTGTGTGAGTGTGTGTCGACGGTGTGTGTGTGATCCTGTAGTGTGTGTGAGTGTGTGGAGGCCGAGTCTTTTCTTTTTCCTGTGTGAAGTGTGTGTGTGTGTGTGTGTGTGGTGTGCAGGGGAAGGGAAGCCGACTCCTTGGTGGGAGGGACTGATGGGAGATCAGAGGATGATAGGAAAGGACAAGGCAGTGAAGAGAATACTCCTTCTTGATCCTGTACTTGGGTGGCAGCCCAGCAGTGGCTCTGTCCCGTCTGTGGCTCCAGCCTCCCGCCATCAGCCCACCATAGTTCCAGCTCCTGCCACAGCCCCAGCTCCTAGGCTCGGGTCACTGCTCTGTCTCCCTTTGTCCCACGAGTTCTAAGGGTGGTCACGGCTTCCTACTGTCCCTGGTCTCCGGGCTGCCCCACCGTTTCCCGTTTGGCATCTCAGCTCCTCCATCACCTGTACAACCGAGTCCCCGTAGGGAATCCCCTCTGCCTGAAACACCTGGAGGGAATTCTCCTCCCGCACTGGGCCCTACCAAAGGGCCTGCGGCGTGGCCAAGAGCTGGGGCTGCAGCATCCGTAGAGGTGGGGTCGGACACTGTTTCTGCCACCATGGCCTTTCCGGGAAAGTTAACAGGAGGCGGCCAGTTCTGACTGGCTTCCCCCAGCATTCACCCACCACGCCCTCACACATTTGGTATTCATTTCACAAACGCTGAGCAGACCCTCCACTGTGTACTGGAAATAGTGACCTTCAAGACTAGGTCCCTGACCCAAAAGGGACTCAAGTGTGGTGAGGGCATCAGATAAGCAAAGAGACCCTTAAAGAGCAGGGACTATGGGACCATAAAGGAAAATCAAAGCATCAAGTTGGCAGTGGGGGGAAGCAGCCAGGGAAGGCTTCCTGGAGGAAGTGACATCTCCATTCTGCCTTAGAAGATGACTTAGGGCCAGCCAGGCAAGAAGGATGTGTAGTCAACTAAGACTTATTGATCACCTTTCACGTACCAGCATCTCCTTAACTAGTACCACAACCTCACAAAGCAAGTGCCATTACCACCCATTTCCAGATGAGCAGCTGAGGCTCTTGAAGTTACGTAACTTGTCCAGGTTACACTGCCAGGAGGTGGGGGAGGAGGAAGCAGGAGTTTGAATCCAGAGTGCTTTTCTCACCATACCCTGCTGCCTTCCATAATAGCAATAAGCAATGACAACACCAACTGGCTCTTAATGAGTCATTCTTGGGCCTTATGATGGGTGGTTTGCATGAGTCAGCTTATCAAGACTTCTTAATAACCCTTAAGGTAGGTGTTTTCATTCCCATTCTTGGGGGTGGGAAGGACTGAGGGTTAGAGAGATTGCAGAGCTTGTCCAAGGCCGTGCAGCTGATCAGTGGCAGAACTAAGATGGGAGCCAGACCTGCCCGACCCCTAGTGCAGTCCTTTCTCCTGCCTCTCCCCACCCACTCCCAGACCCCACCCTGAAGTCAGAACAAGGTGGGGACTTGGTCACACATGTCGATCCAGGTTGAATTGATTCCTTCCATTTCTCCTCGACCTTGCCTGTGACTAGGTAGACAGGACCCTGAAGGGCCACAGCCCACATAGGGTCTGGCGTGCTTGCATGGCTGTATCCAACATTTGTCATCTGACTAGAAACCCCCAGCAAAGTCCGCTTTCCTAGATAGACACTCGATCCAAATCTGAGTGAGTGTCTGACTGCAATCAGAGCCAAGAAACACTGTGGGATTTTATAGGCAACAAATGAAATTGCTCTAAATGCAAGTGAATCTCTGCAGCACCAATACCAATAAAGCCTCCCATTTCTCTCCTGTTCTGGCATTACAAGGAGTTTTGCAAGCTTTTAAAAGTGGGAAACAAAAGGTCTAGGAGAAAAGCAATTCCCAAGGTCACACGACTAAACTCTGGTTCTTTGCCCACCTAGAACACACCTTCTCCCTCTCTCTGTGAGAAGCAGATTGTGCAGACGGGACAAACAGCCTCTGTTACCTGCTGTCTTCTCATGGGCTGGTGGACTCTGGGCTGAATCTCGGTGGTTAGAATCAAAGGCTGACAAGACTAAAGTCATGAATCCATCCCTTGTTGGGCCTGTTGAATCCAGTGCTTTCTGCTTGCTAGCTTTGTGGTCTTGGGTAAATCACTTACTCATTGTGCTGTCTGTAAAATGAGATAATAACGCCACCCCACAAGGGGGTGATAACTAATGGAAAGTATCTGCCCAGGTTCCAAAAAAGAAACAGAGGTTCTTGTTCTCAAAGGAGGAATCCAAGAAGAGTTTAATAAGGATGGGAACAAGATTAAGAGAAACCATAAGGGTTGGGTGCAGTATCTCTGGGCTAGCAACAGCAGAGAGCTCTTACCAGCCCTAGGCCTAGACACGAGGAGAGAGTAGCTGTACGAGAAGGCTGCCCTTCAGCAGCTGTAGGCTGGGTAGATAGACAGAGCCCAGCCACAGTGACTTGGCAGAGAAGGACCCGGAAGCACATATATGCCCCAACCCCCTCCTGGCCTCTGAGCCCTTGGTTCCTGTCCCCATTGGCCAAACCCAACAAGAAGCAAGAAGACTTGTGAGACCGTCGTGTGGTCCACACGGATTAGCCTCCCAGGGCACAGAGCAGAGCGTGGAAGGTAAGAGAGGGAAAGTGGAGGGACAAAGAGAAGATACCAACCACAAGCACCACCTGAATACTATTACCATTTCAGGGTGGAGAGCGGAGGAACCCCATCAATTGTGAACCTATTATATGCTCCAGCAAAGTCAAAATTCCTGGTGTCTCTATGGTGATTCCTGGCAAGATGACAACCTAGACAGCTCTCTAGGTCCTCACTCCTTTGCCCTGCTTTCTGCTCTAGCCAGAATCCTCCCTGACACTCCAAAGAGCTAACTGCCCACGCTAGAATCATTTCTCCACAATTGGATCTTGACGATTCATTACAATGACTCCATTGGGATAATGAGCTGGATGGGGCCAGCCCTGCCTGTGCCTCCGGAGGCCGTGGTCTGCTACCAACCATCCCACTGGCAAGTTTGTTTGCACACCCGAAAATGTATTGGCCACTTAAATCTGTTATAAATTACCAGCCTGGAAATAAATATCGTATCTGGGTCCCCAGTAAGTAACAGATGCACGAGTGCAGAGTGAGATAAATGCGTTTTGGATGCAAACCTCTTTCCCATTGCTCACAGACAGATGGAGGCAGGCCCAGTGCTGGTTTGCAGTCGATCGGCGTGCTGTGTAGGTGGGACTTAAATGAACTCAAAGTTCTTTTAAGGTTAGGAAGTTTTCTGTACTAGCTCTTGGCAAATCCCCAGAGGAGCCCCAACTGAGCAGTACATTTCCTTTTATCTCCTTTGCTGAGGAGTCTCGTGGTTAGAATGTTTTCTCTTTGGGGACTGCGTGGGTTTTTGGAAGCCAGCGAGGGGTCTCTTTGCTCAGATGCAGGGTGGGGACAGGCGTGCAGCATGCGTGCATTCATTCGGTGTGTATTTATCAGGGCCGATGGCCCAGGCTGACTTCTGGGTGCTGAGGACACAGCTGTGAGCAAGCCAGACACAGCCTTGCCCAAGCGGAGCCCCCACTTAACTGGGGGGGGACAGACAACAGCATGTAAATAAACGAAGAACAGTGTGCCATTTGTTAATAAGCACTCCGAAGAAAAATAAGCTGGAGAAATTGGAAAGAAGCTGCCGGGGTGGCGGGAGGAGGGTGCTCTCTGCAGAAGTGACTGACAACCGAGAGAAGCCTGGATGGGGCGAGAGCGAGCCACGAGGGCATCACACAGCAGGCACAGGGACCGGCCAGTGCTCAGGCCTCCGGGTGGACACGTGGTCGCTGCTGCTGAAGAGCAGTCAGCATCGAGCAATGGGAGAACTGGTAATGTTGCTGAAGGCATGAGATGAGAATGACAGGGACTATTGAAATGCCCAATCTAGGCTGAATTAAGAAGCAAAGTCAACTCCCATCTGTGCACAGAACACTTCTCTGGCCTCCCCGACTGGGTCCTCAGAGCTCCACCTCTTCCCCTTGGTAGCCCTCGCCCCAATCTGCTGACATCTGCATGCGGCTCAAAAGTAGGACCCACACCCATCAGATCCACTTCTGCATTTGTGGTGCCTGGTACGTAGCAGGAGGCACTGACTTAATTCCTGCTGATGCATACTGAATGGCTGAGAGAACAAGTGAGCGCACAGAATGGTGAACCCAAGCTCTCTAGCCCCACAACCGAAATGCGAATTTTCTTGCCCAGAATTTTGTCTCGTTGAATTTCAAGCGCGTGAGACGCTTCTAAATCGTGGTTTCTTCCAGGGTCTTTTGTCCTCCAGCCTCGACACTAAGGGGTGGCCCAACTTCACCCTGAAAACATATTTCCACCAACCAGCCTTTGCTGAAAACTGCACCCAGCTCTGGGTGGCATGTCCCAAGGCCCATGAGGAGAAAAGGACAAAGAATTCTTGCAGTACACGTGATTGTGCCCATCGGGCACGTGCAGAGCCTTGCTGGGCCACTCGGGAGGAAGGCGTCAGTGCTGCCTTCCAGAGGAGGTCACATTTGAAGAGTGGTGGGGTGACCCTGGAGCATGGGGTGTGTGGGGTTGTGGGAGGGACCAAAGAGGCCCGCCTGGAAGTGTAGCTGGAGGCAGATGAGGACACAGATAGATGACTAGTCCCGAGCTGAGGCCTTTGGACATGACCGTGCGGGCAGTGCAGAGCTGTTGCAGGCTTACAAGCAGGGAAATGCCGTCAGGGTGCAATGGGAAGCCCACTGGGGCAGGAAGCAGCCGGCTGCAGGGAAGGCTGGAGGCAGGGAGGCCAGCGAGAGGTCGATGCTGTCGCCCAGGCCAGGGAGGGTAAGGGCTGTGAGAATGATTGATGGGCGTGGCAGAAGAGGGTAGACTTGAGAAACTTCGTCATCTTTTCAGGCTCTTGGGGACTATTTTCTGTTCCCAAAACTACTCAAGAAAACCCCTGAGTATAATTCTTTCTGTCTGTCTGAGCATACTGTCCATCTTGACTGGGAGGAACAGGTGGGTCTTCCTACCTCCTGTGTCTAAGAGAAGGGCTGTTATTATACTCACAGAAGGGAGGGCTCGGCATTCCAGTATCCCCCAACTGGCCCGCATGGACTTTTAGTCTTGGTAGGCGCACAATAAATGTTTGTCAAATACATAACAAAATAATAATAATAGCAAGAGCATATATGCTAAATCTCCGAATAATGCCTGGTGCACAGTAACTGTCATATATTAACTCATTTAATCTGAACAACACTATAATGTAAATACCGTTATCCTCATTTTATAGGGAAAAAAAATAATTGAGGCACGAAGAGGTTAAGTAACTTGCCCCAAACCACACAGCCTAGAAGAGACAGAGCCAGGGTTAAAATCCATGCACTTGGGTTCCAGAGTCCATGGTCTGTCACGTAACCACTATGGGATGCTCCTGTCTAGTTGATTTGTTGACATCTTGTTGATTGGGAATTTGCTCTGATCTCACACTGTGCTAGGCTCTGGGGTAATTTGAAAAAACAATTTAGTAGGCAGTGTTTGTCCTTAAGAACCTCACTAAGTAGGTAGGACCACTCTAGCAGAGTTTAAGTGCAGCTGTTGATTGCTGTGTGGTTAATCCAATAGTCTTGGTCATGACACTGGCTTTGGGTTGGTGCTGACGTCCAGCTGTAGAGTGTGCTCAGCAATTGGAAGGTGCCTATGAGCTAGTTGTTGAGCAAGCGAAAGACTAAGGAAGTGAAATGTACAGGGGACTCAGAAACTCATCTTTAAAACAGAATGTGGGTCCAGAACTTTAGAGATGTCACTTCTATGGCACCATGGACCGTACAGATGGCAACCCTGGCTATTTCCTGAAGAAGGAGGCATTGAGGCAGCTCATCCACTTCAACAGGACAGAAAGGCTGGTCAACAACATTTAAGACAAAAACAGTTGTTCATCAAACATTAGGGCTTATTTCCTC